AATGAGATGTTGTTGCAGATGAAAATGGGAATAAAAGTTCATGCTTACCCTAAGCAATATATAACAAACATATGTCACTTTCGATTCTGGATAATGATATAAATATTGTGGTCAACTGATATAAATATTGAGTTAATGGTGTCTTGAATTTTAGTTAAAGCTTGAGAACATTTTTGGTGATTACTTTCACTTTGTTGTTTTTTTAAGTGAAATCTAAATAATTTTACTGGTGCATGTATTATAAATTAACTGATATAAATATTGAGTTGATTTTTTTTTTTTTTTTTGTTTCTTTATCTCTTGATGTAACAAATACTTTAATGTGCAGCATGTGCCAATAAAAAAAAAAAAAGGTTTTCCATCAAAGATTTCATTTCAAGAACCATGATACTTGATTAGATGACTGACTTTTAGTTAGATTCTCTTTCATTTTTCATTTTCAATTCACTTGCAAGCCTATTACATACGTCAAGTCAATGGAAAGTGGAAATTTATTCTTTTGATAAATGAGGTTCAGAATTAGTCCAATCTGTGGAAATAATTTTCCATTTTTCTCATCCCTGGTTTCTGAGAAAATGTGGTATGCGGAATCCAATGCTTTCGAATTTCCATAATTTCTTACGTCAAAGTAGTTTCTAAGCAAATACGATACTTCTTATATCACTAAAAATTTTTTTTGAACACAATTTCCATAATTTCCATAATTTTTTTTTTTAACACAATCAACTAATTAAACACAAAAAGTGCTTTTTCTCCCGTGCTCCAAACTCCTCCGGCTAGGGTTTGGAGTCGGCGAGCCTCTTCCTTCGGGACCCCTCTCCGACAGCGGAGCCCCTCTACTTTCTCTTCCGTCTCTGCGTCGAGCCTTTGATTCGTGGTCTTCGGCCGTTTCTAATTGGGGCATCATAAATCTGGTGCCTCTCCTCAACCTTTGTTTCTACAAATCGTGGGGCGAGTTTCCAGATCTCTACAATTTTGCTCTGTTTCGCAACTTGGGCGGAGAGTGCTAGATCTCAGCAAAACTGCTATGTTTTCGTCACTGAACCACCATCCCAATCATGGCAGCAGATGAATTGGGTTCTATGCTCAATCGGATTCGGATTGCAGAGAACGAAGATGGAATTCTCCCACTGCATACGGTTTGGAAACAGGAAGATGCTACAGTGGACAAGTTACGGTTGGTGGGGAAACTAATATCTCGGAGGAGGATCAACCTTAATGGCCTTCAAAATGCTTTAATGGCTTCCTGGAACAGATCGGAGAAAAAATTTATCTATTTCAGTTTTCTGACATTGGGGATCTCAACAGAGTCATTCACAGGAGTCCTTGGAATTTCAGTAACTCACTGCTTGTTTTTAAAAGGTTTCAGGCCTCCCTCACTCCAGAGCAATATGATTTCTCTACAAACCCATTCTGGGTCCGCATATTCGATGTCCCTATGGGTTTACATTCTGAGGAGATTGGTTTCCTGATTGGTAGTTCCTTAGGACGAGTTTTGGAAGTGGATGAAGGTTTCAAGAAAGCTGTTAGAGTTAGATTAGAATTGAATGTCGTCAATCCATTGCGACATTTCAAGATTTCTCAAATTACTAATACAGAAAGCAGGAAACTCCAGATCAAATATGAAAGACTCCCAGAGTTTTGTTCTGTCTGTGGTTGCTTGGGACATGTGGAGAATGATTGTGACATTGCTCATCGCATTAAAGATGCAGGTGGCAAAATTATCAGGCGCTTTGGTCCTTGGTTAAAAGCTGAACTTGAGAATTCATGGTGCCCAGACGATTTTGACGCTCTGGATGAAGCCTTCTGCAAAAATACCCAATTTGCGAAGGGATATAAAGGCATATCTGATACTGAGCACTCTGAGAATGGAGAAAACCAGTCACTGAATACTATGCCCCTCTGTGGAGGCCAAGTTGAGGGGGGTAACACTATTTATGTGCACGTCGAGGGGGGAAACAATGAGAATGGTACAAAAGAAGTGGTGTTTGGAGTTGAAGCTCACCAAACTCGAGTAGGTTTGCCTTCAATTGCTGAGGTACAGTTGGTGGAAGTTCCATTGTCCCAACAATTTGAGGACATGATGACTCATAAGGGGAAAGGAAAAACTGCAAAAGCAAATAAGGGTAGTTGGAAAAGACTAGATCATACAGTGGCCTCTACGCTGCACGCAGAGAACAACACCCAAAACAAGCGCAGAAGTTGTCTAACGCCTATGGAGGAAGAGAGAGCCCTTAAAGTGCTTGTAGATAATACTGGGGTGGCTTTAGCCCGGTTGGCTAAAGGTCATGACCCCCCCGCCGGTTGATGCATGCTTTCGCATAGGGACGACATCTGGCAAGTTGGGGACTGTTGATGTCGACACTCCCTGCTCTCCCCACAAAACTGGCTAAATAGGTGAGAACGTCCAGAAGTTTCTAATACTCATAGTGACCTTCTTTTCTACTCTAGTAGCCCTATTTATGCCCATACAACGATTGTGTTTGTACATGCAATCCTTAGGTACATATGGCCCTCTTTACTTAATTGTCCACATCCGTCATGGGCATAGTTTAAATCTGTTACTTATGCTGTAGGTTATGCTTCGGTTTTTAGCTAGGCTATAGTGCGCTACATTGAGATTAAGCTGTAATCTCCTTTCCATTTAATATAAATCTCTATTTTTCTATCAAAAAAAAAACTAATTAAACACAATATCCTACACCTGACCTTAGAGGTTCAATGACATTAATCATTGATTAGGTGTATTTTCCCCTCCTTTTAGGTGGGTTTCGAACTCGTCCCATGTCAAAAAAATTCAAAAAAAAAAATAATAAACACAATATCCTAGGCTGTATAACCATAACTACCTACGGGGATTGGATAATGTTAATCCCGAAGAAATTGTTCTTTCACAACAAGTTATAAGTACCTATGGGGGATGAATTGTGACAAATAAACATTAGGGAC